GGCAACCACCTAGCTACACCCTAACAACTACCTGAAACAATATAGCAACCGCTTAGTAACACCCTGGCAATCACCTTGGATACCACAGAAGCCGCCAAGCAATGTCTTGGCAACCACCTAAAACATCATAGCATCTGATTAGCAGCACCTAAGCCACCACCAAGCAACATTCTAGCAACTGCTTGGCAGAACCAAGCAATCGCCTAAGACACCTTAGCAACTACCTGGAATACCATAGGAATCTGCTAGCAAACCTCAAGCAACCACCAGAGATACTGTATCAGTCACCTAACAACACCCTAGCAATACCAGGGAATTACTTAAGCTGCGTAATCACTTTTCTTCATCAAATGCACTTTTCAAATTATTTAATGGTTTCTTTTTTTGTTTTTTTCCTTAAATTACTTGTACAGTGGTATTTTGAAAGGTGCTTCTAAATAAAATATTTGTTTGTTTAACAATGTTTACAATATACATCCTACCATGAACAGAACTGCAGAGCTCTTCATCACAGCAGATTCACTGGCACTGTGTTGCAGGGTCTAATCTAAACATTATTTATTAACCAAAATGACCAGTAAACCTACACGTTTCTTCTGAGTTTTTATATGTAATTTATATATTTTGAAAAATAACAGTTTTATATACCAGCCATCCATATTTAAATACACAAAAACAGCTACACTTGTGCTTCAATGCTTACTGAGATGTCTGTCTTGCATGATGTCATGGCAGCTGAAAGAACCCCTGCCAGTCTCATACGTAAGCATTTTACAGCAGTGTATGCACATGCCCTTAGGCCTGTTCTAGAGGAATCTATTTCCACTCACAATACAGCTTGTCTGAAAATGCTGCATCAACATCCAGCTTAATACAACCAAAACCAACGCAATAAGCATTCACGCTCGCTCTCGCAACTCCTTATTTATTTAGAACTGTTTAAAAGCTTTCTCCTAAGAGTCAGCCAGAGGACAGCCTCCATCTAGAAGTGGGGGGCGGTGGTGGTGGGGGGGGGGTTTATAGAACACAGACACAGTCAGATCCCATACTCAAATATCTGCAGACAAATAGGAAAACAAGGAATAGATGGAAAGTAACAAAGACTGCAGTTCTAGCTGGGAGCCACTCAGTACATCTTGAATCTTATGTGTCTCTGTCATCTAAGGACACTGATGTCCTGGAATACAAACAGCATAAAATATGTAGAGCAGATCGAGGGAGTGGTGATGCACTTAACCCTAGGAGATATTTTAATATGATTTGAGCTTAATTGTTGTGTGTGTAGTCTTGCTTGGCAAAAACATCTTCATATTTTAAGTGCAGGCACAAACCTGCATAAAGAATATAAACTGAATGTAATTAAACGTGATTAGGGCTGAAACGTTTATTCGTACGGAGCCCTTCTGGTCACATCCCATATAAATAAAAATAATCGGTGGCCAGATAAAAAAGTCATGACCACAACTTAGTAAGGCACGGGAACAAGATCCTAACGCAGGGCCACGACCTAGTAAGGCATGGGAATGAGATAATTAAGCCTTCACCACAGCTTACTAAGGCATGATTTCGTTCCCTTGCCTTACTAAGTCATAGCCACGACTTAATTATCTCATTCCCATGCCTTACTAAGTTGTAAAAAACTCTGTGCTATATGTAATTACATTTAAGTATATTTTAATGTAACAATACATTGTGTAATAAGACAGTAACAAGACGGAAGCAATTCTATCCCTATGATATAAAAGACAGCAACAGTGTTATAAACTCTTTCTCTTCAGCAGACCGTGCTACTTATCTGACCTACTTGGCAAATGTTCCATCCTTTCTGTTATGTCTAAGAACAAAAAACACAACAGGGATGTCTAAAAAGGAATCTGATGTGTAGTCTCAGCTTTCAAGCCCCTGATGAGAATACATTCTCATCAGAAATCACAGAAAAATGCATGGTCACATAAAAGTGTGTCCATAAAAGAGATTGGTTTATGCAGCGGTTTATGGTCACACCCAATGACCATGGGTACTTAGAGTTATTGTTAATAAAATTTTTACCACCCTAGCTGTGTGAATGCGGAGATGTGTGTGGGCGCTAGCATGCTAATGGACACGGTGTAGCTAATGAGTCCAGCTGGAAGTAGCATTTTTCGCTTTTCTGTTCTAATTATCCATGCTTGAGGCTTAGGGTCTTAATCGACATTCAGTTGTAATAGCCAGACATTTCCGAAGACGTCTTAAGAAGAACCAGGGCTTGTACTGGCCTGCTGCTAATACTTTGGCAGCGATGTGGCTCCAGACAGTTATGTACTGCTACAGCATGCACCACATGAGAGAGAAGAGAGAGAGAGACATGTCTGAACTAACGCTGGGGCGAGTATATCTTTACTCATCAATACACTGTAATGCTGATATTCAGATTTAGCAGTGTTGATAGATAATTAGTTTCCTAGTAAATCTCTGTTCATTTAGTTCTTATGTTGTTGTTTGCTATCCGGTGTCGACCAGAGGACGATGGGTTTTTCCCCTTTTGAGTCTTGGTTCCTTTCAAGATTTCTCCCTCTTGCTCTTAGGGGGTTTTTCTGGCCACTGTCCCCATTGGCGACGCTCATGGAGGCTTGGACCCAGATTTCTCTGTAAAGCTGCTTTGCGACAATGCCAGTTGTAGAAATAAACTTTGACTTGACTTGACATATACGAGATGGAATTTTATCAAAACTATCTAGCACAAGTCTGAACTATTTGTGTAAATGTCATTAACCCCTAGAAATCCCAGGCCTGTTACATCTAAGTCATTTTCATAGATAATTAGTACCATAGTAAATCTATGTCCATATTTACGTTTAACATCTTAAGTTCAAGATTCTGGGTCATAAAGAGTTCTTGCACCAATCAAGATGAGCTTCTCACCAATCAGGGACAGCCTTCTGGCAGAGGTGGACCTTTCTGGTCCTTTTTGGGTCACTTTTTGTGACCTTTGTGGCAAAACCAAAAAGTAGAAATAATACAAGCTACAAATGCAAAAAAAATACAAATACAAATTTGAAGGACATTGTTTAGATGGACTTGCCGTAGTCAGGAAACATGGGTTCATTAACTTAATTATTGATGTAAACCTGTAAAGTATGATTCCTTTATAAATGCAAACTTAAAATATGATCAAATACCATAATAATCAATATTCGGGACACAGCCACAGTCTTTAAGTCCACTTGTTTAGTTGGGCCTTTGGTAATTAGTTTTTCCCACTGGATAAAAGGAGCAGATCTGGGGGTTCCAGGACATAAAGTATTGTGATAAACTGGGAGTGTTGGTGCTGCTCTCACACGTTCACTCTGATTTGTTGACAGTGGAGTGGAGTGGAGCTGATGTCTCTGTGACCTTCTGTTTCTCCCTTTTAGTTAGGCTGTAATAACTAGACCTGCCGGAGTGTCTGCTGCACTCTGTTAACACTGTATACTGTAATCAGTCTCTCTTAACAGAACTAACTGCCTGAGTGTTTCTTTGTCGAGCTGAATAAATGCCCATCCTGTGTGGTCTGATGCTGTTGCTTCATCTGTCTTGATCAGGTGCCCATTGCTCAGCTGTCTTTTGGACCAGCTTGACCACCATGGAGCTTCCTGCTGTACAATACTGTGCAAACCCCCCCTGTCCGCCACTGACCCTCCTGATGATGATGCTGCATACACAGACTTGAACTATTTAATCACCTGCTTTTCCCCTTTTCTGCATTTTAATGTTTTATACTAACCACCATTCGCCTGATCACGGGGGCTTGGACCCAGATTTTTCTGTAAAGCTGTTTTGTGACAACGCCTGTTGTAAAAAGTGCTATATAAATAAACTTTGACTTGACCTATCTAATACTGAATTTTATCCAAACCATCCAGTACTAGTCTGAACTATTCATGTAAATGTCATCAAAAAAATGACCTAAGTCATATTATCAGTAACTGCATGGAAAATAGTACAAACTAGCTGAGTTGTTTCTAAATTAAAGAAGACCCTATTTCATTTTCTACCACACATTTCAACCATTTTTAAATATTCATTTATTCATCATCTAAGCCACATACCCTCCTGGGTCAGGAGGGGGTGCTGGAGCTTATCCCAGCACTCATTGGGCGGAAGGCAAGAAATACCCTGAACAGGAGAACTCCACAAAAGGCCATGGTCACACAGCTGGGGAATCAAACCCAGGCCCTTCTTGCTGTGAGGTGACAGTGCTACCCACTGCACCCATGCCACCCCTATGGGTGTTTTTTAAACAACCACCACTTTTTTAAGACATAGCTCTAGCAGACTTATTAGAGTTCAGAATAAACTGAATTCGACCTCTGAGATCTTTCTGTGGCCCCCTTAGTACTCTCCTCCGACCCCTCCTACATAAGCTCCTACATATAAGTCTCTAGGCTGAGATTTCCCAGTTTAAATACTAGGAAAACCCTTTCTGGTGATCTTGAAGGTAGGAGGAACGTTTGAAAAAGTACAAGGGCTTTGGGATGGAAACATGAGCACAGAGCACAGTTTGATTGCCCACTGCTGGCTAACGCTGGTGGAAGCTCGATAGCTAACGATACTGCAAGGAAGCCGATTATCACATCATATCAAGTTTCATCAGCTGCTATGTCAGAAGCTAAGCTAATTTTCAGGATTTGCTTAATCACTGTGGAAGGATTCTTGATGATTGCATGCTGTGAGCATAATGCATGCTGGGTATTGTAGTAAGAGAACAATGGTGTACGAAAACACAAAGATACAGTATGTTACACAACATAACAAACATCATTAAAATAGTTTTCGGCCAGAAAGCCCTTTATGTTGAACTTGCTGATTTAGTCCTTTGGCTTACTGAATCCTGGACATATAAAGGTTTAACTGGACAAAGAACAGAAGCAGAGGGAAAATGGTAAGTGTAAATGGTAACTTCAAGAAGAAATAAACCAAGAAATTTTAGGAAAAATTAGATAGATGGTGACAGAAAAAAGAGAGGGAGGATGAAGGCTTACTCAGTGGGCTGGATGAGGCGGACTTTTCCGAGGCGAAGGATGATGGGCCCTCGCGGATTACGAATCTTCTTTACCTCGCTGTTCTTCAGCAGGGAGAAACGTCGCACCAGATTGAAACCTGCGAATCAATCGATCAATTCATTAAGCATCCAGCAGGCTAATCAATCAGCCGTCTACCAGGTGACACACACATACACCACCCGGAGTGTCACAGCAGGAGCTCAGCTGCAGCAGAAAAGCCTTTAACTCACAAAGAGATCACAGTAAGATCTCTAAAGACAGAACTCTACAATACTGAGTGTTTCTGCTGCAGTTCCCCCAGGGAGCTTAGATTTTAAACGCTTCATAAACAGCGGGAGTCTTTTTTAAGACAAATGTATGCCGAAACAAACACTCATAGACACACATTCTTCTAAAGGAAACACACAGCACCAGGAATCAAACATACACTACAAGTCAAAATTTTGGTATCAATGTTTTTAACAATATAAAACCAGTTTGGTTGAAGGTAAATGTATAAAATGATTCTAAAATGCCAGTCCTGCCCAAATTTACCAGTTCCCAATATTCAGTAAGACACTAGGAAGATAAAATAAAACAAAAATTAAGAAAAGATGTGTCCAAAATGATGAACAGAGCTGTGGATTACTCTAAAATGACTGAAAAGGCTGTATAACATTGAGAAGTTATTATAAAATTAATATTACAAAATTCATCAATAAACAAATTTACAAAAAAAAAAATTAAGTGTATATCAAATCTCAAGACAGAAAATTGACAAAAAATTATGTAAATAGATCATCACAGTGTTATCACACTCATTTCTTTTAATAATCATTTAATAATTTTTACAGTATTCAAAACAAAATAACAAAGACCAGTTTGCAGGAATGAAATCCACACTGTATAAGTTATTTTTGTATATTAAAAAAAGTATTTATTTGGAAAATGATTCCAAATTTTTGAACAGTAGTGTATGTAAAATTCATGATCATACTATTACTGAATATCACAGTTATCTTCAGATTCAGGATGCTTAAATTCATATACAGGGTAAAAAGTTCTTAAAATTAGGGCTGATGACATAGATAACGTTGACCTAGTTATCCCAGAAAAATATCTTGGATAATAATGTTTATCTTAGCACCCTGAGAATAACCTCTCCTTAATTTAAAGCAACTTAAAAATAAGCAAATACAGAAAACCAAGCAGGAATCACTGATTTCAACACTGGCATCAACAGAATCCCACAAAGAAACGTGTTTCTCGACCCCTTATTTCCTGGAAATTCTTTAAATAAGCTGTTGGATGTTGGTTCATTTCTTTCCCCAGTGAGAGTTGTAGCTTAAAAACATTAAAAGCATGTACTTCTGTAAACACACATCAAGAACAACATAAGAAAGCCTTGTATCAGATCACAGCACAACATCAGTTAGTGCAGGTAGCCAGGCAGATCACAGAAGCGTGTATTAGCGTGACTCAAATGCATTTGGTTTGCTCGACATGCTCTACAGGGACAAAGCAATTTCAGTAAGATTTCAGTGGTGATAGGAACCAGACATCTGAGGAGTAATGCCTCTAAAAGCTGCCTCACAAAAAGTTATTACATTAAATAGTTATGAATACTCTGCCCAATGCCCGAGATATTGTTTTATGATACTTTTGCTATAAGATCTTGGCCTAAAATGTTTTTTTAATATTATTTTTTAATCCATTCATGGTGGAGGGGAAGCAAAATAGTACCCAAATAATAACTTTTTTTTCAGATTCACCACCATTTCACCACTATCAACATTACATATTGTCGCTGTCCAAAAAAAAAAAGTTATTTTTATTTGTATTTATTACATTATTTTTTTCATCATCTGAGTGCAGCAGCTGTCCTTTACAGTGTCTGAAAGTTTCATGACAAATGAAGCAATACAAATGCTCCAAAATTGCTTAGAATAAAATCTCTTTACCTTAACTTTCTTTAAAAGTTAAGACTGCTTTTGCCTTCTCCTGTGAAGCCACTATTTTGGAGATACTTGTTTTTCTTGGACAGTGTCGATATACAAATTTAGAAGACACGCGCAGGTTCACTGTCCATTTTAAATACAAAATAAAATGGTCATATTTGTGCTGCAGACATCACAAAGACATCGACACGTTTCTCTACAATGAACCATTTCACATCAAGCCACTCTGAATAACTTTGGTTACATCTCAACGATACAAAATCATGCACAAATATTCCCCTCTAACAAACTACAGTTCAGTTTCAGGCTTACAAGGCCTGCAAGTCCAACAGAAGCCTGTATTTAGAGTATAAACAATATGCTTGCCAACAGTCACTGATCCGGCTGTCAACTACAACCATTAATCATATGTTCCATTATGGAAAAGTTACCTTTCATAAAGAGTCACTGAGAAGGTATAATATTCAATAAATATTGATATTACTTTATCACTCAGTCCTAAAGGCAAAACATTAATAAGAGCACTGTACCAGTAATGTTGTGTCTGGCTGTCTGAGGAAACTTCCATTCTTCAACCTGTAGTGATGGGCAGCGCAAACCTGTCAGAAGAAAAAGACAGACAGACAGACAGACATGTCATTTGTAGCACATCCACTATTGAGAACTTCCACTGTAAAAGTTTCCCCATAGAACAAGTTGAATATCTGGCCAAGGACATTTCTGTCATATGCTGGACCTCAGCAAAGGGCGAAAGTGTAGAGGTGATCAAAGCTCGTCTGCAGGAGACAGACGCCATCTCAGATACGAAGCTAAAAATAAATTCAGTCTGTCTGCGAGAATCGCTCCATAATCCAGAGACAAGGTCTCTGACAGCTGGCCTGACGTTCCATCGACCAGTGGACATCACATGATGGATCTACTCATGCTGCCACTCACCACTGTGGTGCAAAGTGTTGTCTGTCATGCAGGCAAGGCTTTACCTCAGAGAGAGTTGTGGAGGAACATCACAAATTCAAGAACTAAAAACGACTGTAGCAGAAAATGACATTAGCATTACATTAAACCACTATAGACAGAGGTGGAAATGGCCAAATATTAACTCAACTGCTTCATAAGACGTATAGAAAAGAAGAAACAGTAAAAATATTCTCTGGCACATAGTCCACTGAGGAGAAAAGACCTCACATAGAAGATGATGCGTTCTCATCAGCATCCAACACTGTACCACAAAGTATTTGCTAATTAGCAAAAGGAAAAAAGGAAAAGGAAGCTTCCATTACTCATCTGACATAAAAACCTACCAATTTACCAACACTGTGTTTGAATAATAAAAAGTGTCTTCAAGTTTGAATCTCCAGTGCTGTTGTCACCTATGTAAGCCTATAGCCCTGTGCTAACTTCGGCTGAAGTTCGTTTTTTTGGTTGTTGTTCATTTTTCCTTCCCTGCGGTTAACCAGATGTGTGAAAACTCCTATGGATACTGGAATTTCAAAATTAGTCAAAATACATATCCCTAACACTTGTGTGGTGTTGGAGTCTGTGGGACCCATTTTCAATGTTTACCAAAAGAAAAAAATGATGGCATTTATTATTATTTCAGCCCCAGTTTCCTTGGCCTTTACTCATTTTCTGTAAAGAACACATAAAATAACACATTTTCAATGACCACACTGTACACACCTACACACCTACACATTTATATTACACACGTGGTGTTGGGCGAACCCGCGGGGAATAAAAGCGTAAAGGTGCTGCGTCCCTTAACTCTGTTCTCCTCTTACATGACCTGCTGTGGGTGTGTGTGTGTCTGTGTGTGTCTTTTTGTGTGTCTGTGTGTGTCTTTTTGTGTGTGTCTGTGTGTGTCTTTTTGAGAGGGTGGACAACATGGACAGGCTGCTGACTGGCTACAGCTGCTAAAGGAGAACGCTATGCTGGCTACTTGCGATATTTTAAACATCGGTGTACTTTTACATAAATTGTTATGACTGTATTGATTTAAAATAATAATGCGGTGGGTTCACCAGACCACTGAGTAACAAAAACATCAACACCTCACAACTGACCGCACCAGAAATCTGCTGCTGTCAATTGGCAGCAGATATATACATACACATATATGAAAAATATCAGATACTGGCATCAGCCCACAGTTCCCATATGGTCCCCATTGAACAAGGTTGACTACAAAGAGCCGGGCATAACGTTATCTGCTTAGCTGGAATGTTAAAAATGTCCAGTGTCCATATGGTTGCATTTTTATATATGTAAATATTTATCTAGTTCGCAGTATTTAAAATTTTAGCTAGTTCTCAGTGAATGGGTTATAGCAGGATGGCTAGCTTAACAACCATCATTACCTTACATTCAGTTTTCACTGGCTAACATGCTAATTGGTTGAGAACATTTTAAAATGAGCTCACTGGCTAAAACCTTTAACAATAAAACACATGAATCATCAAATATTGATCACATAGTGTAGACTAAATATGTACACCAGATATACTAGATTTCTTCTGAGGAAACTGTGTAGCCACTTTTATTACTGATTGTGGAGTTTCTCAGCTGGTGTATACCTACATAAACAGTTCCTTAGATCTAAATCTGAGCTGGACTTTTACAGCATTCAGCTACATTCCTGCCCATTTCCGACTTTTGAGTTCGTATTTACAGAAAATGGCTTGTTTGGAAACCACTTGATTCCTTTGTCTCAAGCAGCACGTCTGCTCAATGCGTCTGAGACCAGAGGGCTTTTTAATCAGCGCTGTTTGATGAGCTCAAAGCCCTGTCCGTCAGTCAGCGAGTGTTAGCGTGTTAGCAAAGAAATGCTCTGAGTGCAGCTGTCACTTAGATGTTTCAAAGATCAGATGAATGTGAAAGACTGCAGCAACAAAACTGAGAGCAAGCAGGTAGGTGAGGTTTTCAACAGGGGTTGAGTGGAGAAATAATGAGAAAATGAAAGAGGGGGGTACGAAATAGACGCCTTCCAACCCCCTCCAACCTGCGTCTCCTTGTCAAGTCCCATAAAGCTCCTTCTAAACTTGAGACACCTGAATCTCTTCTCAGCTAACTCAGCAGCCTCAGATGAGGGGGAAATCTCTCGCTCACAAAAAAACTTATCTGACAGACAAAGAATTCATCGCACATTTTTCTCACATTTTAAGTGTTTTGAAGTCGAACCGTACCCGGCTAAATCCCATCTCTTCACATCTCTACAAAGCTCTCCCTCATTCCTCGCTTTCACAAAAGGCGGAAGGCAGAATTAAGATGCGGCACTGTCGGGGAGGAGCCAGGGAGCCTGAAGGCTGAGTGGCTCCTGAGGGAACCATGGAAAGCTAAACGGAGAAGAGGAGGGGGGAGAGGAAGAGAGTCGTGAGCCACTCCAGGTTTCGTAAGCTCCAACAACAGACAGATGGGACTATGTGTCTGAAGAAGGCTGATGGGTAATATTTACACACTTTAGAGCACCAAGTGATCTCACTGCTCCAATGTCAGTGAGCTCCATTAACAATGGACATTCTGCCAGTTTTAGCCAAAACGGGTTTTTAATGCAAGAAAACATTTGAAATATTCTGAGAACAAACTTGGATAACTAAGAACAAAACAGCTTTGATGATTTTGTAGTCTTGGTCTATTGATGAGGGTGCACCACAGTTAGAACGCAGGCCAGAAGGTTTAATGATTTCAGGCAATCTTTATCATCATCATCATCACTTTTATTTATTTAGTGCTCAAGGACGCTTTCCAATCAGAAAGTAACAAAAAATCAACAATACATAACACAGAAGGCACACACACCTCCAGAGTTCGCACAACTAGTGTAGGGGATTTCACTGACCACAGTATAGGCTATGTTCACAGTATGAGCCTCATTGTTCAAATCCGATCTCTCTGACATAATGGTTCACAGTCGTTTAGGTAAGTGATTCAAATCTGTCATTAATGTGAACGAACCGGCACATTCTACTCAGTAACGTCACGTAAATGAATCACGTGCATCATCAAGAAACAAACTAACGAGCAGAACGAGCTTCGCTGCGAAGATAATTAACTCTGATCAGCTCTCAGCTGCATCATTAGAGCGAGACAAGGCGAAAAAGGTGACATGCGTGGCTTTTCCACTGTTTACAGGCTCTAACTTCTGTTCGGCACTGCTGCCATGGTAACGCTGAATGATGGTGCACACACAGTGAAAAAAAGCACATTCATTCCGATCTGAGCATTCACATTACGGTCGCATGGTCACGAATCAAATACATATCCGATCTAGGACCACATATGAAAGTGGCACAGGTCAGATTTGAAAAGATCAGATTTGTATCCAAGCTAGCTCAGAAAGAGTCCTTAGCCACGGGGGAAGGTCTTACACCATAACTTCAGTGTCATTTTTATTTAATTGCATTATCAAGCTGACTGTATTGAAACTCTGTATTAATAATATTATATTACTATATGAATAGTAGTAAGTACTGTATTAGTAGTCTTACGTTAAGTTTTGGTAAGAAACAAAAGGGTTATTGCCCAATGGGCAACTGTCCAATCAGATTTTTTTCCTATGCTATCTAGGTAGATAGAGGCAAGCGAGCCCTCCAATTGGTTAGGAGTAAGGCCTACCATTTAAATTAACCACCAACTTAATCATGAGGCGGCAGTGGAAAAAAACAATTGCATTTTTATTTCTAGAGGATGAGACCAATTTTGTGAGACAAAAATGTGACTCCAGGCTTTTTGGAAGTCCTAGATACATCACTGACCATGACTACAAGTGGTAGGCCCAACCAAGTTTCACTCAGTTGTTAATGGAAAACAGTGGCAGCTCTACGCCAGAGCTCTTTACTGAGCCACTGCCAAACTGCTACATACAAGGTCAATATATGTTAATATGTCTGTTATAAGCTTTAAATAAAACATATGGAATGTCTTTCACAAGCTCCAAATGTCTGTGTTTAATCTAGAATGTCAAAAAGAATGTTTATGCACATTCCCTGCTGAAAAAAGACTAGCAGAACTATTTGGATTAAAATCTGATGGTTTTGTTTTCTATGGGAATCGGCTTCATTGTTACCATTAGAGACCACTTTCGTGTAGAACACCTTTCGATCCTATTCTGAAACCATCAAATGCATCTGGAATCAGTCACAGAACACCTGTTAAACCATAAAATCATTCACATTGTATTATCAACTCATCAGGAAAACACAAAATACCATTACTGACTATTGGACACCACCATGAACCAGCAAAAACTTTTTAAAAGCTTTTGTAATGATTTTTTTCATTAGTTAGCATGAGCATAGAGCTAACATACCACTAGAAACCCACCAGGGGCACTAGCAGACATTAGCAATACTGCAGAGGTGGGATTTTTCATGAGTATTGACATTTGAGGCCACAATTTGCACCATAACCTTCATTTGACTCAAAGATTTGAGGCAAAGATCCTTTTAAGGACAAACATAACCAAAAATACAGTCACGACTGTGTTCGGTCTGAACTTTGCCCAACCTCGTTCAATACAGCACTCCTGGGGGTTGTGAATTGAGTGTCTCTGCTTTATTTGTCCCAGGCTACATGCTGTTTACTTCCATAGCTGACTGGATAG